TGACGTCTTTGGTTTTTACAAAAGATCTGCGCCAAAGATTGTATTTCCGCAGATTTCTTATCGCAGCGATATGAGGCCTATACCACATTATAGATTGTCTCAACTGATTCACAAATTGTCGCCAAGGGCCACGCTATCAGAAGCACGTAGAACTCATATTTATGTACACACACACATACATATGTGTCCTATATAAATATAAAGGTCTATATATTAATTGGAGCTTATCCGCAGACAATTCTCTTCAGGCGCTTGCCATTTCTACCTATTTCCGGTTAACTGGCGTGAATGTTGTTTACAAACGGATTTTACAGATACTTATCTCACTTTCTCTGTCCCGCTCTCATTTATTATTTATTGCGCGTTATTATCGTATCTGTCCCACTGTTGATTGTTTATGAATGCAAGGCCTTAGCCAAGACCAAACGAAAAAAAAATTTAAAAAAATAAAATAAACCCGAAGAAGAACGCGAAAACTTGTTTATCACAAATGCAGTCCCCGATGGGGGCCGGGCAAATTGGCTCATCATGTCAAGTTCTTAGAACTGCGTACAGAATTTCATCACGCAGCCGTGAATCACAGTAGAAGTAGTCAGTAGCCGGCATACTATCGAAACCGCCGTAAAAACCAAGTAAACAGTGCTATAAACTTCCAAAATGCTCGACATTCAGTTATCCTATACTTATCAGTAAAGTAAAGTATGAGTGAGATGTACTCAACAGATACAACTTTTAATATATAATCTTCATCAAACTCAGCGAATATTTAATATAATATTAATATTAACAAATGGGCTCGTAACAACAACAAAAAAAGAAGGCAGCAAGAAAACTTTTACGTAAAACAAGAATACAGGGTATTAGGAAAAGGTTCATATTTCTTATAGTAAAAGAACACGTAAATTATATACCGTGCTTCAGACATAAATGTTGAGGTTCACGTATATATGTACATACATAAATTCAAAATAAACAGGGTATTTTTAAGAGCACTCACATTTCTTATAAATACAGTCTTTCAGGCAAATCTGTTGCTGCATATGTGTATGCATACTTAAAAAAAACACAGGGTATTAGAAAAAGATTTCACATTTCTTATAGCAGACGGACTCGTACATTATATACAGCGCTTGAGGCCAAAATGTGGCTGCACATGTTAATGGTTTCCTAAATAAAATAAACAGGGTATTTGGGCTCAAATTTTGTATAGCAGAAGAACTCCCTAATTATATACAGTGCCTCGAAAATAATGTTGACGCATACTCGAAATACCGAGCATAAAGAAGAGGAGGCTGCATTTGACGTATAAGCAAGTAACTTCTCTGATAATTGCACTTCCTCATTGAGTGTGTGCTATGCCGGAAATCTTTCAACATCTGGGCAATACGTGTATTTCGTGAATTCTCAACCAACTTTTGTAAACAAAACATAAAATTTGTTGCGTCTGTTTGCCGTTAAAAAAAATCAAATAAAAGAACCGAAAAACCCAAATATGTTGATGGCGCAACCTGCAGCAGCAGCGCCCACGCGGCAAACGAAAACGAGATCGGAATGGAGATCGAGACAGAAAGCGCTCCCAAAAATAGAGCCCCATCTCATTAAAATGCCAAATTTAGTGTGGTGGTCAACACTTGAGCGTTGCCAAGAGCCGTATATCCCCCCTTCCGCCCCCCCCCCCTTCGGTCTATCTGCCTCTAGATGTGTGGGCGTGCCATCTTATTGGCCAACATGTGTCTGGGCTTTGCCGCGCTGATGCAGTCATGTAATTGGCATCTTTCTGGCCCACTCGCCTTCCCTCTCTCTCTCTCTCTTTCTCTCTCCCTAACCCCCCACTCTCGCTGGCCATCTCTTTTGCTCTCTAGACATGTTTTGACCAGCCAACGGATCCGCCTGCACTTGTTGGCCGCCTTTGGGTCTCTATTGCCAGTCAGTTTCTTGGCAATGACATAATCCCCATTTGCATTTGCAATTCTCTCACTTCTCGGCTGTTGCTCAACATGTGTCATTTTTTGCGAGTTTTTATGGCAAATTTTGAGCATAGCTTATAATTTAATGTTCCTTTTTTTTTTTAATATTTACCTCGTGTGGGTAGCTGCAAACAACCAGACTAGTTTGTTTAGCCATAAAAATGTTGTCACCCTGCCTCTGCCTCTGCCTCTGTGTCTTATGGCCATAAACCATAAAAAAGAGTTAAAAACAACAGCCGAAATGGCAACCGCAACATATTTGCTAATTGGGCGTTATATTTAGTCCGATTTGTATGCCCAAACCTAGAGGCAAGTCAACAGGGTATATCAAATGCGTATCAAGTAGGCAACTTATAAGGAGTTCACATGTGCGAACTACAGACAATTTTGGAAGATTAATAATTTACTAAAGGTGTTTCTTTAAAAACATAATTTGCTTAAGACTTTAGTTTATGGAGTATACGCCTTATAGAAATCTTTTTAAACGCCTTAACTTATTGAATTAATATTATTTTAATAATTTTTTGACAACTTTAGCTGAATAACAAATATAATCTAATTAAATTAAACTAAATATTATATTTTTATTTATTTAATTAAATTACTAAAATAAATTCAATAACTTTAAAAAGATGCCTTTATTAATGTAATCAAAACATTACCTTTAATAATAGTTAACGATTATTTTTTAAATAGTGTAAATTTAATTATAATAATATATTTGATGATATGATCAATATTTCTATCAATTAGCAATCAAACCTCAAAAAAAAATAATTTAAAGTTCTTGACAATAATTAATATTTATATCAATTGGTAAATCCAGGCGTATTAATTATTAAATTTTTACCCCGCCCAAAACACACTCGAATGCGATTATTATCGAAGTATTTTTTTATGGCAACTTTAAATCAACAATTATAGATTGTTGAAGCAATAAATAAAACTCTAAATCAAAAATAAAAAATCATACGCTTAAAATAAAAACAAATTTTGTTTAAAATAATCTTCAATTTAGTGAAGGTATTTCCAAGTCGAGCTTTTTTGGTTATTTCTAATTTGTGTCTTATCTTTATTTTATTTTTACGACGTTTACAGAAGCGTTGTCTTCACTTTTATAAGCTGCGAATTGTTATAAAAATATTTAGCAATTTAATGACAAAATGCTTTTGACATAAACGTCAAATAAAGCTCAACTGGAAAGTATTATTAAATAGCTTTCAGACTTTTAACTTGCGTTTGCAATTTATTTGCCCATTATGTTTATCAGCTAGCGCTTAATTAGCTATTAATTTGTTTATGTCTAAATTTGCCATGGTCGACATTGAAGCGCTGGACTTGACGTCAGCTGCTCGGACCGCTGTCATTGGCAGCTGATAAGGCTGATTGTGTGCCCAAAGTGGGATTAAAGTGGGAAGCAAAAATGTTGAATCGCAAACCAAATTTAGTCGCCAAGCGTAGCTCAATGGGCGCACGACTAATTGAAAACAAAATAAAAACGTGTGCGCTTATATATTATTTCTACTTTTGCCAGTGCATTTAGAATTCATTGATTTTTACTTAACTACAATTCAATTGACTTGTTAATAGTTTTTATCTTTTGCTGCCAAAGAAAACGAATTGTTTCTCTTTTGTTTTTGTTTACGAAATTGCTTTTACAATTTAAATTGTGTATGATATCACTTTTGCCGATTTCCATTTCACGAAAACAAAATTTATTATTAAACAAAACATATTATATGCCAGCACAAGCTCCCGTCTGTGTGCGTGTGTGTGTGTGTGTGCGTGTGTAAAAATATATTTAAAAATGAAATGGAAATCAAGTAACTGCGTCGCGAAATATTATTTGCCCAGTTTGAGTCGCCCATAAGCGCATTTAATAACAGCTCTATATACATTTGTGTGTGTACATATATTATAATATTTTGCTCTGGCACACGCTACGTATGCGCAATATTTGCAATATACAAAACATTTCTTTAGCTCGCTGCACAAATGATGCAATTGCCGTTGTTTTCGCTGTCGTCGTCGTCGTTGTCGTCGTTGTTATCGTTGTTGTTGTTGTTGTTGCTGCTGGTGTCTTGCTGCCAATCTGTGGCAGGAAACGCGGAAGCAGACTGCGCAGCTGCCGCAATGAAGGAGGCTGCCACAGCGGCCACAACAGAAATAACGTAAAACGCATTTCTTAGTTTTTCCCCATTTTTTACAGCCATCTTTTAATGCATTGTTTTTGATTTAGCACGATTTTTCTCGTTTTCTTTTTATGGGCAAGTTCTCGTTTCGGCACTTAAACGCTGAATTTGACGCGATTTTGACTCGTTTTGGCGTTCTCGAAACATGGAACGTGCCTCGCATCCGATTCCTATTGAAAACCACTTCAACATTTATAGCTCACCACTTTTTTGCGTTTGTTTTGTTTTATTTCTGTTTTGTTTTTCTTACAACGCTCGACGTTGTTTCATTTTTTTTATACTCATGTTGTGTTTTGTCCTTCGCTCCGTTCATTGATATTCTCATCTACATACATACATATAAGGAAAGTGTTGTAAGGCATTTGTTAAGACAGGTAGTAAAAATTTTATTGGGTTCCTGCATTGACTTTTTTATTTTACTTGAATTAAAATTCATTTAATACGTATTCACTTTTTACAATTTTACAATATTTAAATGTGCTTGCTAACTTATATTAATCATCTAGTGATAAGGCAACCTTTATGAAATATTTTCTTGATTCAATACAATTGTTCAAATATAGACTTACTTGAGGCCAACAATCGCATGGAAAGGCAATTCATATTTAAGAGAGTGAGAAAAAACTATTAATATATAATTTTTGTATACACACGTACTTAAATTAAAATCAATTAGCCATGAGAATTGCATAGAGAGGCGGCAACAGTGTGTGTGATAGAAGGAGCAACTAGGATTAAGTTGTTAATAGTTGTTTGATTTTAACAAAATTACATATAATTAGTAATTAGTGCTTGACTTTCTTTCTGAATAACTTTATTTTCCCATTTCTTGCACTTGCAGAGAAGTTCTGAATGCCTGGAGATCTAAGGCGCGCTGCAATGTGGTGCCCGACGAGCGCACACAGGAGCTCTTCCACGAGCTAAGCTTTCATCCCAGCCAAAAGCAGAGTAAGTAACAATCAGAAAATGTATATAATTCAAATGAATTAATTTAAATTCTTTTGAAACAGTCTGCGAAATGCTGCAAACGGCCAAGAAAGTGGCACGCAAAGGCCGGGGACAGGCAAACGGCCTGACTTTTGGACAATTTTGTGTGCTAGCTGCGGACTTGAAGCGTTTTCGGTGAGTTTTGCTGCAGTTCAAATTTGAGAAACTTTAATAAAAACATAAACTCTGCTTCCTTAGCGCCTCAACAATATCGAATGCATCAAACTTCTGTGATGTTAGGTACCAACAACTCTCAAGCTCTCTACTGCAGCAGCAGGACGATGCCAGCCAAGCGGCAGATAGCTCCAGCAAAACGCAAATGCCTTTGCAAGCCGCAACCACAACACCTGCCTCCATGCATTACAATAAGAAGTCGGACAATTATGGCACTGAGCTGCGCAGTACAAAGTCCTTTAGCAGCGTCGACGACACCAAGAAGAAAAAGAATGCCAACAACGAGCCCGTCGAGGTGTTTCTCGGTGGCTCCTGCAATCCAACCACCTGGCGTGCGGATGTCGCCATACCCGCACTCAAGGAGCTGGGCATTTCATTCTACAATCCTGTAAGTGAGCCAAACTTTTGCAGCCAGACTCTTTATTAACTATATTCTATTTTGCGATGTGCAGCAAGTATCCGATTGGACGCCAGATCTCATTGAACTGGAGCATCGAGCCAAGGAAAAGGCACGCGTATTATTCTTTGTTATGGATTCGGAAACACGCGCATCTGCTGGTGCCATCGAGGCGGCACACATAGCGGGTCAAAACTGCAAGCAGCTGGTGTTGGTTTTGCATCCGTATAAACCAAATCAGAATATCCTCAACGAGCCTATTTCGCATCAGTATGTTTCTGGATCCTGAATCCGCTCCAAAGTTGATCACAAATTAACCCTTTTTCCTTTACAGAGAATACCTCGATTTAAATCGCAATCAACTGATACTTAAGGAGCTGGTCTCCCGTCGCGGTTTGCCAGTGTTGGATAATATACCATCTGGTCTGCAGCGCACCAAGGAAATCTTGTCTGGCATCAGAGATCCACCGTCCAAAATATCTTCTATATTAGAGTGAGTATTTTTTATTTGAATGATGGTTCGTCCGCATTTTGGGATAAATTTATAAATTGCTAGTAGGCTTTTTATGGCATAGATCTAATAGTAGATTCTATTGTGATATGTTAAATATATTTATTTAAAAAGAATGTTATATTCTAATATAATTATATTTGTTAGCTTTGGTTTTAAACTCTGATTTTCGTGTGTAGTTAGGGGTATACTCAAGTAGACTTTTGATCATTAAGCTTCCTTCTTTAATTAAACGTAGAATTATGCTCGGTATAATATTTGTTCATAAGTTAATTGGACGAAATCGAGTCTAACACGTAATTATACGCCTTTATCGCTTAAATTATGTTCATCTAACTATATTTTGCATGAACCATTTCGGGTTGTCTGTGATGATTACAACTAGCATTACAGAATATTCTGCTCGGAATCTTTGCTTTCTCGAATAAAGTCAGCTTTTCTAAACTATTTAGATAGTCTTAGTATATAGTCTTAGTCTTACATGAAAGAAAAGTCTAGTACAACAGTCTGTATTCAAAATCAGATAACAAATATAGAGAAAACTGCAAATACTTATGTTAACTTTTTCTATTTACAACTAATAATTAAATACAAGACACATCTTTTTAGAGATTGTAATAAACAATTTAAAAACTAAAACAACTTATTAAAAGTTAAAATGCTTATATTTAGATATATTAAAAACAACTTAGTAAAATTAGTCTTGTAGAATAGTTTCAGGTTTTTGAACTGTAAAGTATACAATTAAAATCTTTTTTAACTGTTGCATATATAAAGACATTAGGATATACAAATAAAACCTACTAATTTGCCCGTTTAAGTAGCTGATCTCATTAATAAGCATTTCTAGATAGTCGACACATATAAATTTTATTTTAAAAAATGTTTGCGAAGCAAAGTAAAAAGGTTCAATTTAAATATGGTCTTCCTTTTCCCTTCTTCCATTAAACACAGATAAACACTTATCTAAACAACCTATTAATATTTAAAATAAATGTATTTTGGAATGTAATTGAATAGTATACAAAGACAATATCAAATTTAGAATAAGAATTTAATATGTAATTCGCACTCATGTTTTTTTTTTCTTTTATTATCCTTACAGTACCGTACGCGGCGCCTTTGATCGCGTGAATCCCCAAAGCGAACTACTCACTGTGGAACAGTGTAAACGTGCTCTCTTATTTTTAGGCTATGCTCAGAGTTTAGTTAATTTAGATAATCTAACTAAGATAATAATCAACCAACGCGAATCATTGAAGCTGCTTCAAACGCATAGTACAAAGGCTGGAGGCGAGCTGAATCTAGAGGAGGAGGCAGAGGAGGAGGAGGAGGACGAGGAGAAGCGAAAGGCAGCAGTTCGACAGCCAAATTGCCACAATACGCCCGTCATGCCAAACCACGAGCTCATCGATTTCGATCTATTCTGTGTCATCTCAGCGTATCTGTCGGTGCTGCAGCAGGAGATCCACGAGAGCGGCTGCATATCGCCCATCAAAGGCACAAATGTGCCGCCGCCGCAGGTTTACTTTACCAATGGTGAGAATATATAAATATATACGTATATGGAAACCCTAACTAATCCTGCTCTCTAAATGGTTATGTAGCTCCTGATGTGGACATTTATTACGCGGCCAGCAAGAATATTTCGCGCACCTCGAGCAATGCCAGCGTTCCATCGAATAGCAGCAGCGGCATTGGCCACGATTTCGAGCGCCAGAGCTTGTTTGAGCAGCTGAGCCGCAGTCGGGACAGCGGCACCTCGTCGCCGCAGCCGAGCAGCACGGCAGCATTAGGTAAAAAAGCACAGCCACAGATAATGCTGAATGTCGAATCGATTGAAACAACTGAAATAATCACAACCAAAACGATAGAAACCAAACCGTTTATGGCTGTCAGCAGTAATGCGACGCCGGCGCCCGCCACTCAGGAGGAGGAGGAGAGCGATTCGAATGATTCGGTCTTCTCCAGCAGCAGTTCCCTAGCCAGCGGCGGCGATGCTCTATGCTGTTCCGGTCTGGATCTGCGCGACGTCTATCTTGGCGGCAGCTGCGTCGTGCGCACCAAATGGCGCCAACAGCTGGCTGCGCCCTATCTGCAGGCCAAGGGCGTCACCTTTCACACGCCCGCGCTCCACGAGAGCATACAGCAGCAGCAGCAGCAGCAGCAGCTGTCGACGCAGGAGCGAACGGCTGGAGCGGCCGCCACGCAGGACACAGCACGTCAGCAGGAGCAACAGCAGCAGCAGCGCTCGTTTGTGCGCACGCGCCGAAAGTGTCGCGGCAATCAGCTGCAGCTGGAGGAACAGGAGGAGCTCACCGTTGCCGAGGAGTCGCTCAGCTGGTCCCTGCCTCCCATGGCCGTGCGCCAGAGTCTCTACAATCCGGCTCTGTTGGATTCCAGCCGCGTGCTGCTCTTTGTCATCACCAACGAGACGCGCTCCCTGGCCCCAATGACCCTCGCGGCGCACTGCATCGGACTCATGTACAACGTGGTGCTGGCCGTACAAATGCTGCCCGAGGATTGTGTGCTGGGCGGTGAAAAGGTAGGAAAACACGAAAATTATCATGAATATAAGGGAAATTCTCTCTATGACCAAAAACTAAGGCAAATTTAAATTTTTCCTTCGGGTGTTTTATGGACAGTCTTTAGGAGACACTTGTCTGAGCTCAAGGATAGGAATTTGTCGAACACATACTATTTTCTAAACTAATTGTTCGTTTATAATGTTTGCCAAGCTTAAATATAATTTTATATTTTGTTTTTTACAAAATTCTTTTTTATATTTAATTTAAATATTCTATTTAAATAGTTACAAGTTCCTTAACTGCAAATGCAATGATAATTATAGATCATCTCCGATCTCATAAATTATATACTTGAGTATTCTTGAGCAATATTTATCAGATAAAGTCAACAGTCAATAGATCATTTGTTTCTTTGAAAAACTAGTCAAGCAGTTAACTTAGATTTTCATTTTTATAATAATTTTAATTTTTATAAGGGAAACAATTTTAGACCACGAAAAAAGAAAAAGCTGGGAGAAAAATATATAAAAATTGAATAAATATGAAATATATGAATTAATTTGCTCCGATTAGCTGTTAATAGTAAACAAAATAAAATAAAATGAATTGTCTTATCTAGTCCTTAGTCATGGCTTATATATATATATAAATATATATTGCCGATATATTTGCAAAGACTTTATTAAGAATTAACTTGGAATGCTTGCAGCTAACCGTGGCGGCTATCAAGGACTACAACCGGGGTCGCTCGTATCTCATCGATCTGGCCAAGCGGCAGGGTGTGCCCGTTTTCAATGACATCCAGGCGGCGCTCGAGTGCACCGTGGCCAAGGTGCAGGCGTATAACAATCGCGAGCGCTGCTAAAATCGTACCTGTTTCAGTTGCAGCACGTGACAATTTTAAGCTAAATCTAATACTTAGTGCAATTTATATATTTGTTTTTTTTTTACGTCTTAACTTTAAACAAAATTTACTTAACAAGTGTGTCTTAATTGTATTTAAGTCTAATCCAAATTCTATGCTATGCAAACTGTACTAAACTTTGCTACGCATTACTGTTCCCACTATGCTTTATACATATAATATCTACAAATACGTAATATACCATAATTATTGTAAAAGTGTAAATGAAAAATGTCGTTGCCCAGGAAGCGCATTTCAAACCAACAACAGAAAGCATTATGCTTTATGCTAATTTATTATTTATTTAACATACCATAATTGTACACGTTCATGTGCTAAATTGAACAACTGTAAATATTATAAATACAAATATTCGTCTGAGAAGCGTATAAAATGTAAGTAAAGAATTCAAATATATTTTATATTTAGTGAGCATAAAACCATATACACATACTTAAAATATATAATAATTTAGTAGCCCACTGTACCCAGTCCGCAGGCAAAAATATCTCAATAAACAAGTTTTTCTAACATAAACTTCAATCCCCTTTAAATGAATATATCAGAAAATTCAAATTGATAACAATTAAAAGGTTTTAAAGCACTGTAACACATGGAAATATTTAGCAGCACTGTTCGGCGCTGCCAGATAATACACCAAGCGCCAATTCACCAACTAGTTGGCAGCCCGAGCATCCGATCGTAGAGCACTTGCCCAAGCACTTTTATTACAGTTGTAGTAGCACTGTACAGTGACGTACTGATATCGATTGCTGTTATATCGATACTTTTTTTTAAACAGCTGGCAGCGCTCACTTTCGATCAGCCGCCCACAGTGTGGCGCACTAAGAGACGTGACAAGTGACCCAAACATACACACACTCGCGAGTTGTACACAACATATGTGTGTGAGAGAGGGAGAGAGAGAGAGCGCGAACTTACTCTCTGCACAAATATTGTTAAATTGTGATTTGTTGCTATTTTTGCGTAGCTTCTTTTAAAACGCACATGGTAAAAAAATAAAAACGACAATTTTATAAAGCGTTTGAGATTCCCTTTAAATCTGGTTTCGCCTGCCTGACAGTTGCTGCGTTCTTGGCATTCCCTCACTCTACAACCGATTCGCGTTGTCGTTCAATTTTGCCACTTTGATTTCAGTCGCCCATTGCTCGCATTCGTTTCTGGTACGTATTGTACCCCGTCTAGCCCAGTAGGCCCGAGTGTGTGTGTTTGTGTGTGAGTGGGTTCAGTCAACCCACTGACAGCGGCGGGCCCCCGCTAAAATAATGCAAAGTGTGTAAAATATTGGCTTTAAAAAAATCAAGCACGCGCGTTTTATGCAATTCTGACGTGTTTTTTAACAAAAAAGTGAACAAAAATAAATGTACATATATTGTTTGATTTTTGCAAAAACAAATACGTAACAGCGACAGCGGCGTTGCTGCTGGGCGCGTGTGTGTGTGAGCATAGGAGCTGTGTGCAAGTGTTGATGTGAGCGTGCCAAAGAAAGAGAGGCAGAGCGAGCGACCGAGTGATAACTGCATGCCGCTCTCTCCTTCTCGCTCTCTCTCTTCGAGGGGACTTGTTGCTGTCGTCGCTGGCGACCGTTGCAGACAGAAGCCGTAGTTGAGTTCAAGTGACGACGTCGCACTGAGAACGAGCAAAAACAAAAACAATAACAAATACATAACGTTTTTGATTGATATAAATGAATATGCAGCGACAGAGTCGCAACTGAAAAAATCACTTTAATGTGCAAGTGTTCGCCGTTACGTCTTTAATTGGCGCGCAGCATCAAATACACAAACACACACATATACACAATGAATATCAAAACAACAACAGTAAGGCTGGCAATTATGCGACCGCAAGCCGCTTAAGTGCAATAGTAAAAAAAATAATAATAATAAAAAAACCAAAGCAAAACAAAGAAACAGCAATAAGAAATAGTGGTGAGCAAGTGTGTAAAATACGATTTGAGTGCCAAAAAAAAATAAAAAAAATAGCGGCAACAACTTTCAATTATAAAGACGAACCATGAAAAAAGCACAAATAGGAAGGAAATCAACAAGTGTGTGACGCTCTGCTCGTGCGTCTGCTCTGCTTCGCTTTCATTCATGCGGTCAACTAGAGTCAACAGCCATAACAACAGCAGCAGTGGCAGCGGCAGCTAAAGTGCGCCCGATAAAAATCAAAAGCAATAGCAAAAACAAAAGTAACTGCAGCAAATAACAGCAGCAGCAACAACAACTGTTACTTCCAACGGCGAGCTTTCAAGTAAGTTTCCATATGTCATGTGCATGTGTGTGTCTGTAACTGTCTGTAACCGCACACATACACACACATGCACACATACACTTGCGTATTTATCTGTGTGTATGGCATTTTTGCCCATTTGCTTAACATTCTAGTTATTTAAGCTTTTAGTCTTGCTTAGTATATTGACTGCCATTCAACCATGGACACGTGTGTCGCGTGCAAAAAGACCGCTTCCCATTTAGAGCTTTGCATGCGGCAAAATCTTGTCAATAGTTAAACAAACTGTACTAAATGAGATTAACATTATGTTAGGGTAGAGCCTAATGCCTTTTGACCTTTTTTAAAAATACATATTTTATAGTTTATATATATTTTTTAATATCTAAGAGGATATTTGTAATGCACGGATTTCCTTATAATTCCCTTATTGAAAAGAAAATAGGAAATAAATATCTTGCTCTAAAATCTTTGAGGTACCTGTTATTTATATCTTAAGATGAGAGTTGTTCTAATCTTTATAGTTACTTAACAATTTTTCACCAATAATTTTTATTTAACATTTAGGTTTTTGAACTCTTAATAGATATGTACTGCGGTATTAAAAAGTTAAAGCAGCGTTGAAATCGATCCCTCCATAATTTGGGGAGTTATTCTAGCTAAAACAATGTCCATCTCGCTGAAATATTTAAATAGACCATTTTTTTTCGGTTCAAGAAAAGAAGTACTATCGAATGGGTTAATGTTGAGTTACTTCCAGAGGCAATTCTAAATTCCACTTGGAATATATTCTATGGAAAACCGTTTTTTATTATGAACATTTAAGCAATTATTTTTGGAAAACAAATACAATTTTTAGTTTTGCTTTAAAAAAATGTAGTTTGTTTATTAAAAACGCAATACTTTTTTCTGTAAATTTCCTATTTCCAGACGACCAAGTTTGTGAGAAATAACTATTTTAATTGCGAATTTATAATTGTTGTTTTTTAAAATAATACTAGTATGTTCACATGTTGTATTGTATTGTTTACTGCATTGACATTTTTTTTAATTTTATGCATTATAATTCTGTGCTTGGAAACGAAATCGATTCTTATCGATCTCGTAGAAACGTTACAGATATTTACTCCGAACAATTTTCTTTCCGAACTATATGGGACAGCTTAGAAAGTGGAAAAAACCCTCTAAATAAACCAAAATTATTTTCAAATACTTTTCGAAGGGTAACTCACCTTACTTAAAATTGAAACAACATTGAGATTCACTTCAAAACTCGTATTTACAAATCGTTCAGCTTTTATTTGAAAATCGACAGACATTTTTGAAAATTTCATAAGTTAACACTAATTTGAAATAGTTTGCAATCTCGCTCTCTCTCTCACTTTTTATATATCTATATCTATATATATAAACCGTTCGATTTAACGAAATTAAAAATGTGTTCACGTGATCCGGCCTCCAATCAGCTAATTGACTACAAGAACAACGACGCAGCGGCCCAGACGGAATGTACCAGTTCGGGAGGTGTGCCGATTGGGGTCAAGGATGCCATACAGACGGTGGGACCGCGCGGCCCTGCACTACTCCAGGATTTTATTTATCTGGACGAGATCTCGCACTTCGATGCGGAACGCATACCCGAGCGTGTTACCTATGCCAAGGGCGCTGGAGCTTTCGGATATTTCGAGTGCACCCACGATATAACCAGATTCTGTGCGGCTTCTGTTTTCGATAAGGTCAAGAAGCGCACAGCTGTCGCCATGAGATTCTCGGTCGCCTGCGGAGAGAGCGGCTCGGCGGATACGGTGCGGGAGCAGCGGGGCTTCGCTGTCAAATTCTATACGGAGGAGGGCATCTGGGATCTGGTGGGCTGCAATATGCCCGTATTCTATATTCGTGATCCTTCCCTTTTTCCCAGCTTGATACACGCCCAGAAGCGCAATCCGCAGACGCATCTGCGCGATCCGGACATGTTCTGGGACTTCATGTCGCTGCGCGCGGAGACGCTTCACTCGCTGCTCATGTACTTCAGTGATCGCGGCACTCCGGATGGGTATAGGCATATGCATGGCTATGGCGCGCATACGTATCGCATGGTCAATCCCAGCGGGGAGACATTCTACGTCAAGTTTCACATGAAGACGGATCAGGGCATTAAGAACTTGGATGCACGCCGCTGCTCGGAGCTGGCCTCACATGATCCGGACTATTCGATACGCGATCTGTATAACGCCATCAAGAAGGGCAACTATCCCAGCTGGAGCCTGTTCATTCAGGTCATGCTGAACGAGGAGGTCAAGAAGTCCAAATTCAATCCCTTCGATGTGACCAAGGTGTGGCCCCAAAAGGACTATCCACTGTTGCCCGTGGGCAGACTGGTCTTGGATCGCAATCCCACCAACTACTTTACGGAAATTGAACAGCTGGCCTTCAGCCCGGCACATATGGTGCCTGGCATTGAGCCCTCGCCGGACAAAATGCTCCAGGGTCGCCTCTTCGCCTACGGCGATTCACAGCGCTATCGCCTTGGCACCAATTACATGCAGATCCCTGTCAATTGTCCTTATCGCGTGAATGTCAAGAACTTCCAGCGCGACGGCGCCATGACTGTCAATGATAATCAGGACGGTGCACCCAATTACTTTCCCAACTCCTTTTGCGGGCCCAAGGAGAGCTCTCGGGCCCTCGCTCTGCAGACCTGTTGTCCCGTTACGGGCGATGTCTATCGCTATATGAGCGGCGATACGGAGGATAATTTCAGTCAGGTCACCGACTTCTGGACCTACACCCTGGACAATTGTGGACGCAAGCGACTTGTCCGCAACATATCGGAGCATCTGTCGGATGCCAGTCAATTCCTGCAGGAACGCGCCGTTAAACTGTTTACCATGGTCCATGCCGACTTCGGCCGACTCATGACTGAGGCTCTCAATACAGCCAAAATATCGAAGTTCTAGTCGGGGAAAGGGTCTCTGCTTGTTATGCATTTGTGTTTTCGAATATTATGATAATATATAAACAAATTTTAAGGTGTTACTTAAAAAATTGTTTTGAAAAACTATTTAATTTAAAATTCAATTAAAGTGCTTTTTCTTAAAACAACAAAATAATATATTAAAGAATTTTGAATATTGATTGTGGTTTTAATATTATAGTATATTATAGTTTAAATAAATTTTGAATGAGATTTTTCTAGTCATAATAAGTATTTTAGAATATTATTATATCTCAAGTTCTTTGAGACACAACAAGAAATTCTGAATAGAGTTTAAAACTTAAAAATAACTTTCTTCTTTATAAACTTGCAATATAAAGGACATGTCCATGCAACATATAGTATGTGATATGGATAATCTTATACTAACTCTATGATATTTCATTCTGGAATACAGTATGCTAACAAAAGACTAGGATAGGAAAGTACCTATACTATCCTTCCCTATCATCCTTATTGTGTGGCCATTCTTTTTCCTCTCCCTTACTTATCTTATTGTATCCTTATTTCTGTATCACCACTTTTCTTCTCATTTAACGTCGTATCCCCAATTTCCGATATCCCTATTCAACAGCTATAAAGCCGCGCGCAAGCGAGTCACGTTTTGGGCACGATCCGAAACCTATTATTGTGAAGTTGCCTCGATTTGATATTTAGGACCACGTATTTAGCTGCCATTGGCTTATCGAACATTTATTGCAAAGAAATAATAAACGTTCGATGACAATCACAAATTCCCTGTTTTCGCGCCTTATCAGTGAATGCGAATTTTGTTGTTCTCCTTTCTATTTTTTGTTTTTTGACGCATTGCCTGTGATAGAGAAATAAGGAAAGCTTTTGCGGTGGAGTCTCATAGTCGCTTTTTGGGCATTTATCTGGACGGGCTTGAAACGATTATTATTTCAATACTTTTGTATATACATATACATTATTTATTTCGGCGCTACGAGTCAGAAATAGCTCTCCGCATGGAGTGTGTCATAGAGTTGTTTTGGTTTATGAGTAGCCCGTACACTGGCCAACTATAGCTACAGATAGCGCCTTTATATTGCCAGGCAGGTGGGTGATAAATATATATATATATATATACAAATATCAGCAGGATCATAAAATTGCCCCTTCCATTTTCGCCCAGGGGGACTGTCATGTAACCAGAACTAACTTGTTGTTTTTTTATTTATATAAAAATTATATGGACGATATTGATGGCTTATCGTGTGCTCGTTAGATCGGAAACCCATTAAAACTTTAATACGCACTCACATACATAGACTAGTTTGACTAGCTGTATTACAGCTTTCGTGTTGATTTACCTCAGGTATATTGACCACTTATCATTTGGTTCATTTACAGTTGCTAAGCATGACTCGCACATGATTGTAAATCGTATTCGATAAGAACGGGCACTCGTTCATTATGAAGCACCCCCAAGATCTGACAATTACCGATGGACATCAGCTAATGGAGATTAATAAAGTGGAGCAAATGGAACAGGAGCTCAACGAGCACGGTGAGTGGAATATAAAAATATGACATAATAACTATTAGACATTAACTTTTGAGCACCATTATAACTAAAACGTCGCATTACGAACAATTTGATAGCCAATCAATTTATCAATATCATAAATTTTAATCCTATCTGAAGCATGATCCTAAATCATTCGAATAAGATTCGATTACTTGCGTATATAACCCTTCCCAAACCATTTAAATCGTGTAAGGATAAAATATTTATTTGCATATGTGATAGCCCGGAACGACTCCGAAAATCACTTATAAACATTAAAGCTTTTATTATCTTACTTGGAAACGGATTTTTTCAATCAATGTATTTGACTTAGAATAATTCATTAAATGTTCGTGAAATCATAATTTTACTATAACAAAAAGAACAACATTTTAGGTCAAATTTTATCTTAATGATAAACGCGGCCAAACAGCACTCCGAATTGCAATAAAATATTATTGAAAATTATTATTGTCAGAAAGGTATACTTTTCTTTGCATTTCAATAAAAAAAAAAAAAAAATAACAGTCCGAATTACTCCGAACGTACTCCGAATCGTAGAAGTTTAATTAATTGTAAAATCGTCTTCATAAGAAAGTAAGACATCATTTTAAAAAAAATCTCAACTATAAAATATGGTTAATCGTTCTCTTGAAAAAAAAACTCCGAAATCGAGTAAATGTCTACGTTTACTCTCCGGTTAACAAACTTAACGATGATGCTTTGGATAGAACGCAATTCATAATAAGTTTTAATCACTCCGAAATTTGCAGGCCACTAACTCAAAAGTTCAGGTCAGCAATTTCACTTAATCGCTGCTTTGCACGTGGCACGTGCCTGGCCCAAAACGCCCAAAAAAACAAAACTGTGAAAGGTGCGCAAATTGCGTTTTTGAATATTCTGTATTGGGTATAGTGCATAGAACAATTTATGAGTATGTTAGGGGGGAGAATTATAAATAGAAGCGAGATAGCCTTGATTAACTTGATAAGCCAGACGAGCGCAATCATTGTAAATGTTTATAATTTGTTTATTGATTAGCAAGAACTTGTTGTTGGCGAGCAGATTAAAAAACTGATTAATCGTGATATAAGCAATTGTTTTACGATCCAATAATTACAACAAATAAAACTTGCTCGCCTGAAGTTTTACAAGACGGCTCGAAATGTTGCTGTCTGGACGAAAAAAAAAAAAAACAACATGGAAAATAAATCGCAAAAAAGCGCGCAAAATAAAACAAAATAAAACGTAAGCGTAATGTTTAACTTAACCCCGAAGGGTTAAATATGCGCAATAGCAAACGCAAGCGACTTAAAAAATTACAGAAAAAAAAAAAAAACTTGGAAAATAAAACCTAACCAGATCCGCTGCCGTAGTCGCAAGCGATCTGAAGTGGCCCGGGCCCGGGCTCGGGGCCCGGGCCTGGGCTCAAGCTCAAGCCCCTAGACATAGCCCAGCATTTAATTGTTGAATATTTATAGCTGGCTGGCCAGATGTTGACGGAGCAGGCCCGGGGCCAGCCAGGGACTGGGCTGGTTCTGTAGTGTCACCTTTTGAGCGCTGCGCTGACATGACGAAAACAATTTTCAGCTGAAACGCACTCGGACTCGCACTTAATTTGATTTTCAAGCCCAGCGCCAGCATTGAAATGAATCGGATATTATGCAAAAGACAAACAGCTAAACAACAAATAAAACCCATGCCAAGTAGTTGAGGCAACTGACTGACCGGCTAAACAGCACGACCTATAGCTTAATATATTTACCCGGCATACACCCTGTACTTCCATTTATATGTGTGTGTGTGTGTATGTGTATATATATTTAACTGCCAGACAGTTCTCGGCGCTGATACTATAAGGAGGTTATCGCCGTGACGCGAACTCAATTGATTTTTGCATTGATTTCGGTTTTGTCTCTTTCCTCTGTCTATTTGCCCCGATTTAATAATATTATATTCCCCTGCGTGAAGGTTTTGTTTTCTTTTTTTTTTAGTGGTCTACTTATAATTATAATTAAAAATTTTAACGGCTATCTAGATAGTATTTCCGTGCTGGTTGCCTATTAAGAAATATACTTGAAGATATCAACATTGCTCGCTCGTAAGTGAGCATTTTTCTTTTATTATTTTTTCTTTTTTTTTTTATATCCGCTTCGGACACTCATTAATTTTCAAAAAGATAATTGAAGCGTATTGCGTCACTTTTCATAAATGTAAACAAATATGCAATTGCTTTTGGGGTCTTGAAACGAATCCAGAACTTCAGATAATTGTCGCACAGTTCGTCAAGTGTATATCTCTGGGAAGTGTAAGAGATTAATAAGATTGTAATGGGATTTCATGTAATAGATATCCTTTAAGATATTGGTTTGATCAATTAATTAAGATTAGCGTTGAAATTTCACAGTATTCTTAAATTTTCAATTATTCGGAGTTTTAATTCCGAAAATCTTAAAAATGTAATACAATATGTTATAATAAAAAAAAAAGATAATATATTAATCAAACAATATAAAATTGTGACAGAAAAATTCAGGTCAAACCATATCCACTCCGAAAAGCAATTGACTAACTTAAATGTCAAAGCGTATTAGAACTATAATTGATGACGCTTTAGGAATTGCGACAATAACAATAACAACAAAGTCTACTCCGAAAACCAAATGCTTACTCCGAAATAGTAATTTACTAAATAAGCGACAAAGCATGTTTAAAACAATTATGTCAGCACTTTTAGCACCGCTCCGAATCAATTACCTTGACTCTGAAAAATTTGTTTCCGCACCGTTTAACCTAATATTATCTCATTTGGCAGAGTTCAGCTCTCAACTTTTTTTCGAGCTGTTAAGTGTTAAGTGTTAGTTTTCTAGTCGTTTCCACGTTTTGAATGGATCCCCACACTTGAGCTTATTTCCCAATTAGGCGGCCACCTTTTCTCAATTTAAGACCCGACTAGCAATTCCAGAGAAAAATCTCGCCTATATACCTATGAATAAAAATGTATCTTCGAGATACAAACGCAGATACAGATACAGATACAAATACAGATACCGTACATATACAGATGCACACAAACCACTCAACAATGTGGACACATTTCACTTAAAATTGTCGCCGCTTAATGAAGTGTAAATAGTAAATTGCAGTCAAACATTATGAATATCATTAACAATATTCATCGTGCTCATCATGATGATGTTCATTATTGTCATGAATAACCACAACAACAACAACAGCTTTAATAATTGTAATTGCAATTGCTTAATGATAATGTTGTCTCTGACGCTGGTGACGAACAACACATGCAAATCACATGTGCGTCCTATGGATACAACTCACACACTCACACTCACACTCACGATTCACACTCGCACTCATCGGCTTGTGCAAAAATAAACGCGGCTCCATTGCTTTGCATGGTTAATATAAATATGTATGCAAATAAAATAATAATTTTCGCACAAAATTCACTTAACGAACTACTGAAAATGTTAAGGGGACGCGGGTAAAGAGTTGGCCAGTGGGGAGGGGGGTTGGGGGGCGAAATGTCTTTTGGCTTGGCTAATTTTCATATTTCTCTGGAAATTGACAGGCAGTCAGTTGTCCACATGTGCGCAGGCCGGGAAAATGCGACAGGCAAGCCACACAAAACACAACGCACAACAATGCCATGCACATGACATGCATTTTATTATACCCTGTAAAATCATGCAAGCACAGTTATCTAAATTTTGACACTGCATGTAACAAACAGTAAAAGGCTCGCTGAATTCCATTCAATGTTTTTAGCTGTAAGAAAATTGAAGAAATATTATATTATTATAATATATTACATACTTTGCTTCAAATAATCAAAATTAGGTATATATTAAATATATATACAGAAATATAAATTTAAAGCGAGCTACAACCCTGACTCTAGGACATCTGCTAGTCCAGCAAGTCTTGCTTACCTTATTAAAGCCTTTTTTTTTGATACACTTCCTGTTAGTAAAATTTAGAGAAACTTAAAAGCCGACACATTGATAATTAGCATAAAATATATATGATATTATATTTTGCAAATACTTCATACGAGCAATTCAGACCTGACTTTTACTCTACGATTAGTTGTATTTCTCTTTTAGATAGTTTATTTTTAACTGCAGGGCATCTGCTAGTCGAGCATTTATAGTTGCTAACAATTTACTTGTAAATTTGTTGATCTTTCACTTCTTTAGCTGTGTTTCCATTATTTTCATCATACACACAATCATTCCTACACACACACACACACACACACACACACACGCACACACACCACACCCATGCAGGAAACGCCGGCTGTATCTCTTGGCTGTCATAGGGGCGACAACTGTACAGTAACCACAATTTGCGACGATCCTCCTCCGACGCATGATTCATTTAACTCGGTGCGTTCGATTTCAAGCCAAAACATATGCGTCATGTAGTGCATGCGAGATACGAGGGTATATGCATGCACATATGTACATATATATGTATTTCCATATTTATGCGCTCATATTTTGTAATTGCAATTAATGCAATCTCTGCCCCATATGACAGTTGCACATGCCGCAGCTCCGATTGCATTGCTCAGAACGTTGCGGACTCATTAATATGGGTATTTGTCAGGCGTCAGGCACTTGTGGGAATAAGTTTTTCTCTTTTTGCAAAACACAAAAATGAGTGAACACCCATGTTTACAGTTATTGAGGAAAAGTAGTTTCGGAAATATGTTGAATCTGATTAGATCAAGGCTTGCAAAAGTGCTCGAATCTCTGCTTTCACTTTGCCATATCAAATCATGTCCAGTTAAATTCCGCCCGGACATGGTCTAAATTAATTTAAATTAAAATAAATGTATGAAAACAAACTAAGGGAAATAAGGCACTTCCAGCGGAAATTAAGATATGGCAAAACAGTTGAAGTTATGATATAAGCACCTACACGGTTAACTAAAAGTTATCAATAGATTACAATATCTATTGTTGCCTTGT